ATTTTCATGGAAGTCAATTATTTGACCAACTGTGCACATGGTCCTATGACCAAAACAGTTCCAGGAAAGCAGGGCTAACGGTCGGTCTCTTTTCGGGAGCACAAAAGTACATAAAACACCGAACGGAATACAGTGGGACTTCGGTTTACAAATGCCACGCTTAACATAATTTTCGGTTTACACTTGAAAATCCTTTGAAAATAATGCCTCGGTTTACAATTTTTTTCGCAATACAAACAAGTGTTATAGCACCGCCCCCTGCATGCTGGAGCCTGTGGGTAGCACGTGGCATCGAGTGTGGAGGTGTTGGAGCGGCTTTTGCATCAAGTTTTGGAGCCATTCTGGGAATTGTTTGCAGTTGTTTTGGTACTTTTTGGTGCATTTCTCAAGCTGTGGAAAGGTAGGGAGCTCAGCTTCGTCATTTGCATGCCTTTTATTGTGGGTTCCGCATTGTGGGTTGGTTTCCATGCCAGCTCATTTTGACTTTTTTCTGACCTCCAGAACGGATTAATTGCTTTTCAGTGCATTCCTACGGGACACCGCGTTTCAGTTTACAAATTTTTCGCGATAAGAAACGTCCCAGAGAACACATTGAATTCGAAGACCGAGGTCCCACTGTACTTAAATTACTTGTGTAGCCTGTTCCCCTTGTTTGTGGGAACGTTTCCACTGAACAGTGCCTTTCTAAGTGGGGTAGACCTGAACGCAGGCAATGATGGAAGTCCAGCGGTGTTTGCGAGTTTCTGTGTCTGATTTTAGTTACATGAGATTTATGCCTAAACACTGCTGCCTGCGTTCGCGGGAACAAGACAGCCGCCACCTCGTGGTCGTTCATACAAAATGTGGCCACCCAGACAAACACTTAGAAGACTGCGATGGTAATTTTAGAGTCTTTCTAATTATGAAAATAAAGTGATTCAAGGATCTATAATCCATACTCTGATCACTTCCTTCATAATCTTCAGAAACTTCCCTTTATTGACAAGTCCTTTTCAGTTTGAGATAGGGATGTGCATGGGCACTTCCGAAATTCGGGACTTCGGTTCGGCACTTCCGAAATTCGGGACTTCGGTTCGGCACTTCCGAAATTTGGAACTTCGGCACTTCCGAAATTCGGCAATTCCCTACCCCTAACCTAACATGAGAGGGAGGGAAAATTAAGGGAATGATGACAGGAATATAACCTTAACCCTACCCCTAACCTAACCCTTACCCTTAACCCCAACCCTAGTCCTAACCCTAAACTAACCATACCCCTAACCCTACCCCTAAACCTACTAGGGATAGGGTTGGGGTAAGGTTAGGGGTAAGGGTAGGGCTAGGGCTAGGGTTAGGGCTAGGGTTGGGGTTAAGTGTAAGGGTTAGGTTAAGGTTATATTCCTGTATATATATATATATTTATTTATTTATTTATTTTTTATTGCACATATTTTACTTACCTTATTTCCCTCACAGCGCTGGTCTCCGCACTGCAGTTTCGCCTCAAGGTTGAGATCACCAAGACTGTCCAATGATTTCCAATAGGCAAGTGAGCATTCACTTTATCCTGTCTTAATCCTGTCCTTACAGCTAAGGGGAGGATCTAACCTAAAAGTGATGCTGGGTTAGCCAGGAAAAATACATTTTACTACGTACATTTTTACGTGCATTTGGCTGCTTCCCTCATGCCTTTTACCCAGAGCCCTCTCCTTTAAGGATCATGATCCTAAAATAAATTGTTGTGGGCAGAGGCCCGCACACTAAAGGGGCCCATTGGGTGGCCCATGCAGTTAGGGTCACCTGGTGGGCATTTGTAAGCAGGGCCCGTTGCCTTTAACAGCGCGACTGGGCCCCTGCTTTTTGGCAGTATGTGGGAGGAAGTGATGGCCACTTCCTCCCAGCTAGTGCCCAGCCACGCGGGAGGGAGAACCTGGAAGAAGCAATGCGGAGGGGGCCAGGCCGGGAGAGCTGGACCCCAACTCCCAGCCACTGCAGCCAGCACACTGGACCCTTGTGAAGCCACCCTCCAGCAAAAGGTAATAATTTGGAAGGTGGCTGTCAAAGTGTAGATTTTGCATGTGTGTCTGAGTGTGTGTGTGTGTCAGTATATCTGTCAGTATGTGTGTTTGTGTGTCTGAGTGTGTGTGTGTGTGTGTGTGTGTCAGCATGTCTGTCAGTGTATGTGTCTGTATGTGTGTGTGAGTTTGTGTGTCAATGTCTGTGTGTTAGTGTGTCTGAGTGTGTGTCAATGTCTGTGTGTTAGTGTGTCTGAGTGTGTGTCTGTGAGTGAGTCTGTATGTAAATATGTCTGTGTGTGTGTCAGTATATGTGCCTGTGTATCAGCATGTCTGTTAATATAAGTGTCAGTATGTGTCTGTGTATCTGTATGTTGTCAGTTTGTATATTTGTGCATCTGTATATAGTCAGTGTGTGTATCTGTGTATCTGCATGTGTGTCAGTGTTTGAATTTGTGTGTCTGTGTATTTGCATGTGTGTCAGGTTGTGTATTTATGTTTGTATGTATGTCAGTGTGTGTATCTCTATGTTGTCATTCTGTGTATTTGTGTATCTATATGTAGTTAGTGTGTGTGTCAGTGTATCTATGTGTCTGCATGTGCGTCAAGTTGTGTGTCTGTGTTTCTGTATTCATTGTGTGTATTTTTGTATCTATATGTAATCAGCCTGTGTATCTACATGTGTGTTAGTATATATATCTTTGTGTCTGTATCTGCATAAATGTCAAGTTGTGTATCGGTGTGTATGTATATGTGTCAGTGTGTGTGTGTGTGTGTATCACAAACATCAACACAACATACAAACACACCCCTACATTCACACAAACAGACTCCATAAAAAAACATGCTTACATTCAAACATACAAATACTGATCAGTGCTAAATATAACCTTGCAAGCATGGGAAAATGGTAGCCAAGCTGTCAAAGCATTGTTGGAGTTGCATCACAGATGGGGATCTACCTTTTGGCCACCCATGCAATGGCGGGGCCCAAAATAAGTCTTGCACCAGGGCCCTCTCTACTTTAGTTTTGCCGCTGTGTCAGGGAGTTGGACGGGGAAGGGTCCAGGGGGCCCAAGCAAATGCTTGCCCAGGGTCCAACCATTATTAAAGACGGCCCTGCTTCTACCAGGGTCAAATCATGACATGTTTCTTCAGTAACATTTATATCCCAGGAAACAAGGCAAAACATTCCTGGTCAAATAACTCAACATAATTTTAAGTGATACTGTTTTAATCATGAGGAGTTTGCGGTTCCATACACCATATTGTCTCTACAAGGGGGTTAACTGATTTTCCCACACAAGTCTCGAGATACGTGGAATTTGCAAGCAAACCAATGAAAGCGCTCTCTTGTATTAATACCTGCACTAATATTAAGACCTCCCTTGTACTAACATGGGGGTCATAGAGACTACCAGAGGCTTTTATTTTATGTCATTTTTAAATGACTAACCGTGTTAATCATTAAAAAAGTTTTTGGGGGAAATTTTTATCGGGTGTTTATTGGGTTTGGCTGGTAGAATTTCAGATGGCATTAAATATAACTGAAATTCAATTAGAATATTTGCTGAATCCAGTGATAATTTTTGACTGGCATTTGCTAATAGAATGGAACCAAGGCCATAGTGCCATATGCTTTATTTAATACTAATCTGTGGCTTATTTTGCACAATACATGTTATATCATGCCACGCTTTTGTGTCCATGTACTGGCTTTGGAATGTAGCACTTTGTTTTTCATTTTTTTTTCCTCAATTTGGGTTTTTGACCTTAAAGGGACACTATAGTCACCCAGACCACTTCAGCTCACCCCAAGGTTTTAAGGTTTTTTCAGATGTAAACATATTAGTTTCAGAGAAACTGCTATGTTTCACTGAGGGTTAATCCAGCCTCTAGTGGATGTCTTCCTGACAAACGCCAGAGGTGCTTCTGCGACGCTGGATGCGAAAATTGCATTCAGCGTGCAGAACGTCCATAGGAAATCATTGAGAAATGCTTTCCTATGGCCGTTTTTAATGCGCGCGCGGCTCTGGCCCCACATGCGCATTCCGCTCCACTCGGGAGCTGACGTCGGACGGGGAGGAGAGATCACCAGCGCCAAGGGAGCCCGACGCTGGATTAAAGAAAGTAACTGAAGGGGTTTTAACCCCTTCAGCGCCAAGGGTGGGTGGCCCTGAGAGTGGGGGGGACCTAAGGGTTGTATAGTGTCAGGAAAACAAGTTTGTTTTCCTGACACTATAGTGATCCTTTAAATCTGAAACTCACTTTAGTGCATAAACCTGATAAGTGTTCCCAAGGAGTATAGGTCCCAATTCTGTGTGACCATCTGATTTGTGATTATCTGCCAGCAATGCACAACTATAATTGAAGGCATGTAACCTGTAAAATAATGGTCATCGTACACAATTTTGTGTTTATAGTACAAAAGAGCATTTTAATTTTATAGTCTTTATCATCTTTCATTCCAGTGCATGTTGAGGCAGCCATCTAGGTCTCTTGGGACCTTGTTTGCTAATGTAAGCTTTTAATAAGTATAATGTACAAGTGTAAAAGCATAAAGCAGATAATACTGAGATTAGGATACCCAAACCATTCCAATATTTTCACAGAATTTGTAATGTTTACTTTAGCAATATATGCATTAAGAGCAACGCATAGCTAAATGTTGATAAGAACAATTTTTACAATATGATTTTAAAGATCATGCAATCAATAAATAATGCCTACAGATACAAAAAGGAAATGGATAGCCATAGGAAACCTATTATACAAAAAAAAAGGCTTTATGTGGTTTTCAACTTTTATTTTTATTATTTATTTGGGAATTTTAGACTTTACACATGCAAAGAGGTATTAAATACAAATAGCTAAGCAGTAATAATTCAGTGCTTTATTGCAAATAATAATAAAATAAAAATCAGATGGGGTAAAAAGGTCAGATGAAGGGGGATTGTAGAATATTTATCCATCCATCCAGCTAGGTAGAAGTGATGAGATCAAGAGATTTATGGCAATGGGACAGAGGCCCATGGGGACTCATTTTGGAAAATAAACTCAAAGTAATGCAGGCAGATTTTGAATCTGTCCATTTCAAGTGAGTCTGATGTAATACATTTTTACCCTGTTTATTGATTAGTGTGCTAGAAAATTATTCTGTGCTCCTTTCTGTTGTGCAATAGATTTTGAGAGCAGGAGAACCAAGGTTGATTATTCGATTGCCAAGTCTAAACTGATGAACACGAGTTATTCTATCTGCCTCAAAAAGTAATTGTCACCAATGAAAGGAAATTGCAGCTTCTGTGTGGTCCTTCTAGCAGTTTTGTTAAATAAACACGCTTGGCACAAAAAAAACCCAACTTTAAGAGCATTTGAGCATTTTTGCCTCGTGTCCTTGCTATGTTTTGTCATGTTTAAATCTTCTTGGATTTGCCGAAAAGAAAAAAAAAATTAGAAGTACTCTGAGCACATCTTCAGCTCAGCCAATGAGATCAGTGTAAGGTGACTGTGATAAATAAATAGGAGCATTTTTTTGACATTCTTAATTTATTTGAAAATATATACAAATTATATTAAGTGCAATGCAATAAAATACAGTCAAATTCTCCATACGTAGGAAAGGCTTCAGGGTAAATCAGGTACACGAAATTGCCAGAGTGCATAGGTGTGATAATCTACATGGTATTAGCAACTGCATCTTCTAAATATGGAATATGTTGAGAAAGAAAAAGAGTGAAGGGAAGAAAAATCCATGAGATAAAAGAGAGCAAACCAAACAGTCCTCGCTTGGCACCTCCACCCCCATATTAGTGGTCCTCAATATATTCAAACCAAGAATGAACAAATGTAAAAAAGCTATTGTAGCTTTGTGACGAAATTCCTGTACTCCAAACCTCCGCCCAGTCCGCTTCGTAGCTGCTTGCAGGGACCTTGGAACACTTCAGCCCCAGTCGCCGTAGCTTGACTGGGGTCTCTCTGGAGCTCTTCTAGCCGGCCAGACTGCAGCTCCCTCCTTCCAGGCAGGTATCATCCGCTCTACCTATTCCTCTGCAACCCTTCTTCCAAAGAGATATCGTACACTCTGCCTATTCCACTGCTAACCTTCTTCCAGGCAGGTATCCACCTCTGCCTGCAATGTGCCTTTACAAAGACACTTGCACCTCTCAGACCTAGCTGTCTTGATTTATCTTAGAGCTAGAGGTCTGAATACTCTGTCACTGGGATCCATAAAAATACACACAGAACATCCAGTTCCAAATGGAACTAACATACTAAGCTTTCTTTTTACTTGGGACTAGCCTATAGGATAATTACATAAAGCTTATGGTGACACACTAAAATAAATACATAAAACCAAATCATGTGAAGAAACATACAGGCCCTCACACACATAATCATATTAATAAAGGGGCAGGGAAGACAATAACTAACATGGAATATCTTTCCTCCACTCTTATTTTGTGATTTTTGTAATTACTTTTGCATACTGCATGTCTGTATGTTAATATTTGCAAATTGTATTCAAATTAACAAATAAACAGGAAAAGTAAATGTACAAACATCTATAGAATACACAGTGTGAAACATCATTAAATAAACATATTGTCATTATTCAATGCCCATTCGAGTTTAAGAGTTAGTTCTGTTATTTTAGGGTGCTAGTGTATTTCTTGATCTCTGGATAATCCATTCAGCAGTATCTCTCTTCCTCCATGACGCTGATCCTGTTCTACTTGCATTTGTTATTTAGTGATCATGGCAATGATATTGGGCTTCAAGCCATGAACTATTGACATGTTCCTGGCCTTAATTGTGTGCATCCAGCCCTGACCCTTTGGCATGCTACAGACTACAAATCAGTCTTAATTAATCATGCCTTCAATTATACTTTTCCCCTCAATTTGGCTTTTTGACCTTAAATTTGAATCTCAATTTAGTGCATAAACCTGATAAGTGTTCCCAAGGAGTATATGTCCCAATTCTGTGTGACCATCTGATTTGTGATTATCTGCCAGTAATGCCAATCGCTGGTTCTTGTTTTTTTTTTAAAGTGACACTCTAAGCACTAAAATAACATTAGCTTTTAAGGAAACAGTTTTGATGTATAGATCATGCCTCTAAAGTTTCACTGCTCAATTCTCTTCCATTTAAGAGTTAACTCAGTTTGGTTATGCAGCCCTAGTCATACCTCCCCTGGCTGTGACTCAAACGTCATACCTGCACACTTCCTGAAAAAGAAGTCTATTTTTAAGCTTCCTTTATTGAACAAAGTGTTTAATGTATAGGTTCTTATCTCCTGCTCTGTTAATTGCCTGCTAGAGCCTGCAACAATCTCCTGTCTGTGATTAACCCCTTAAGGACACAACTTCTGGAATAAAAGGGAATCATGACGGAATATTTCCGTCATGTGTCCTTAAGGGGTAAAAGCTCAACTAACAGAGCAGGAGATAAAAATCTCTGAAGTATACACATTCCGCTATAAGATCTTTTCAAATACTTTTATTAATAGATGTTTTCAATAATAATAATACAGAAAATAAAATAAATAACTATAACAAAAATGGGGGAATACAATGAATAAACATCATCCATTAATACATTGTAAATGTCTATTAAATCAGTACTGTAATAGTAGAATATGACAGTAGTAAAATTAAAATCCCATATGTGTCTTAAAGGACCACTATAGTGCCAGGAAAATAAACTTGTTTTCCTGGCACTATAGTATTAATAGGCACCCCCACCCTCATGGCCCCCCTCCCGCTGGGCTGAAGGGGTTAATAGCTTACCTTTCTCCAGCGCCGGGGACTCTCCTCCCTCTTCCGCTGAATGCACATGCGCGGCAAGAGCCGCACGCGCATTCAGACAGTCCATAGGAAAGCATTCTCAATGATTTCCTATGGACGCTGGCGTCTTCTGACTGTGAAAATCACAGTGAGAAGCATGGAAGCGCCTCTAGCGGCTGTCAATGAGACAGCCACTAGAGGCTGGATTAACCCAAATGTAAACATAGCAGTTTCTCAGAAACTGCTATGTTTACAGCAGGCAGGGTTAACCCTAGATGGACCTGGCACCCAGACCACTTCATTGAGCTGAAGTGGTCTGGGTGCCTATAGTGGTCCTTTAAGAAGTTGGGGTGTTCATAAAAGAATAAAATCAAAATAATGATTTCTTACCGTCCGGTCTGGTGCAGAGCTAATGAAAAACCCATAGGCCATAATGGACCCTGACATCGTCCTCCCAGAGTGTCCATTCATGTCTCAGTAAGTTGAAAGCAGCAGAAGGTGTTCTAAATTCTGCTATAAGATCTGTTCCAAAATGTAACTTTTTTTTTTCTCATGGAGTCTGTGTGAGTCACATGCAGGGAGGTGTAATTAGGTCTAGCTAAACAAAGTGAATTAACCCTTAAATGGCAAAGAAGTGAGCAGTGAGATGGCAGGGGCATGATCCATACACCAAAACTGCTTAAAAACTGCTTAATTGAAGAGACACTCCACAAATCTTAAGCACTTTAGCTTGCCGAACTGCTGTACGTGTGAAAAGTGTCCTCTTTCATTTTACTAAAAGTGAAGATTGTATTAGAAATTGACACTTTTTAAAGTAACCTTGTTACATACCCCACCGCCACCCGGCTGTTAATCAAACAACCTTCTGGTTTGCTTAGCTCAGTGGTGCTAAACTTAAGAGGCAGGCAATTGCAAAGGCTTCTCGTTGAGCTGCATTGGGAAGTCTGTGATTGGACAGCCGCAGAAAGTTTGGGCGGGTTTAGAAGAGGAGGACTAGCAAAGATTGGAGACAAGACATCTGAAGCTTTTGCAAGCTGTTTTTACATGTGCCCCAATTGGTGGCATATATACTAAACAATGAATACATTTAATTTATTTTTTATATTTGACTTACAGCTGTAGGATATCACCAGGAACTCCTGTCAACATAACCACTACAATGATTAAGACTATCTTTTGCCGTGTGTTATCAGAACTAGTCATAGTACCAATCATAAACTGAAATGACCAATAGTAATAATGAATGGGGGAAAGATATTTACAATGCTTCCCATTTATAAGTTATTTAGTTTTTGGATCTGTACTATATATAGTACTAATTATGTATCATAGATCAAGTGCCACATCAACTTCGGAATCAGTGTATAATAAAGTTCTTTGCATCTTTGTCCATGGGCGTCCGCAGGAATTTTTCCGTTGGGAGGCATAATTGTAACGGCATCCATGCTTGGTCTCTTTTTGACAGTGGCATGAAAGGGAAGGGGCATAGTCATTATCACATAAAGCCAGGGTGAAAAGCGTTTTCACAGCTATGGTGTCAGGAATACATGTTTGTATTCCTGACACTATAGTGTTCCTTTAAGCAAATTAAAGGAACATTCTGGTCACCATAACAACTTCATCTAAATGAAAATGCTATGATGCCAGGAGGACCCTGTGCGCTCTCTTTCCTTTAAGGGGTTAAACCACCCTCAAATGGTTTAACCCTAAAGGCTTCCTCCACCTCCATATCTCCAGGTCGCTCAGTGGTATTCAGCTTCTGAAACAGAGTGTCAGGAAGTGCAAATTCACGTCAGGCATTGGTTCCGCAGATTGGCTAGAGTGGTCAGCTGACGCGCTAAGCCAAGCCAATCGCTGGTTGCTGGTTCATAAAAATGTTTTACTTTTTTATGAATTGGCTCTAGCCAATCAGCGGCACCCCTACCCAGCGGCACTCTGTGCTACCTGACACTCAGTAAATAAAAGTGAACACATTAACACTGGTACTTTTTTTTACCTGGAGAGATGAGTATGTCCAAAGTTTCCCTGCCAGGCCCAGGTACCAAAGCCTTATGATGTGGTGTCCAGAATAAAGTAGAGGGTTTACTTCACTTGTCCTTCCTACTCCAATCTCATTTTCTTCTCCTTCATTTGACACAGTCTTCTTTTTCTTCTGACACTGTCTTCTCTCCTCCTTGGCTCCTTCACCTTTCTGCTTCCTTTGCGCCCTTCTCTTTCTGCTCCCTTTCTGCTCCTTGCTGACCCTTCCTGTTCCTTTCTGCTCCTTCTCCTACTTTACCTTTGTGCTCCTTCTACTCCTTGCTACCCTTTTCTGCTCCTTCTCCTACTTTACCTTTGTGCTAATTCTGATTCTTTCTGCTCCTTGCTGCCCCTTTCTGCTCTTTGCAGACCCTTCCTTCTCCTTGCAGACCGTTCCTGCTCCTTGATGCCCCTTCCTCCTACTTGCTGCCCGTTCCTGCTTCTTGCTGACCCTTCCTGCTCATTTCTGCTCCCTATCCTACTTTACCGTTGTGCTTCTTCTGCCCATTCCAGCTCATTGCTGACCTTTTCTGCTCCTTGATGTCCCTTCCTGCTCATTTCTGTTCCTTCTCCTTTCTGCTCATTGATGTCCCTTCCTGCTCATTTCTGTTCCTTCTCCTTTCTGCTCCTTCTCCTACTTTACTGTTGTGCTCCTTATGTACCTTCCTGCTCCTTGCTGACCCTTTCTGCTCCTTGCTGACCCTTTCTGCTCCTTGTTGACCCTTTCTGCTCCTTGCTTTCCCTTCCGTTTTCTTTCTGCTCTTTCTCCTACTTTACCTTTGTGATCCTTCTGATTCTTTCTGCTCCTTCACCTATGTGCTCCTTCTGTCTTTTCCTGCTCCTGCTGCCCCTTTCTGCTCATTGCAGACCCTTTCTGCTTCTTGCTGACCCTTCCTGCTCATTTTTATACCTTTCTGCTTCTTCTCCTACTTTACCTCTGCACTCCTTGCTGCCCATTTCTGCTCCTTCTCCTACTTTACCTTTGTGCTCCTTCTGATTCTTTCTGCTCCCTTACCTTTGTGCTCCTTCTGTCCCTTTCTGTTCCTTGCTAACTCTTTCTGCTCCTTGCAGACCCTTCCATCTCATTGCAGACCCTTCATGCTCCTTGCTGCCCCTTTCTGCTCATTTTGGCTCCTTCTCTTACTTTACGTTTGTGCTCCTTCTGCCCCTTCCTGCTCATTTCTGTTCCTTATCCTTTCTGCTCCTTCTCCTACTTTACCTTTGTGCTCCCTCTGTCCCTTCCTGCTCCTTCCTGCCATTACCGGCTCCTTACTGACCCTTCCTGCTCCTCGCTGCCCCTTCCTGCTTTTTGCTGACCCTTTCTGCTCATTGCTGACCCTTTCTGCTCCTTGCTGACCCTTCCTGCTCCTTCCTTGCAGACCCTTCCCGCTCCTTGCAGACCCTTCCTGCTTTTTGCTGCCCCTTCCTGTTCATTTCTGTTCCTTTGTGCTCCTTCTCCTACTTTACCTTTGTGCTCCTTGCTGCCCCTTCCAGCTTCTTGCTGCCCCTTTCTGTTCCTTCTCTTTTCTGCTCCTTCTCTTACTTTACCTTCCTGCTCCTTGCTGACCCTTCCTGTAGGCTGTCTCCCCCATCCCTCACTTACCTGATCTGTAGGCTGCCACCCCATCCCTCACTTACCTGATCTATAGGTGGATCCCCCTATCTCTTACTTACCTGATCTGTAGGCTGCCCCTCATCCCTCGCTTACCTGATCTGTAGGCTGCCCCCCCATCTCTCTCTCACTTTACCTGATCTGTAGGCCACACCTCCCCAGCACAAGCTGAAAAGTCCAGGGGAGGAGCCCCTCTTTGCCCCCCCCCCCTGCGGACGCCCATGTCTTTGTCCCTCCTCCACTGATCTCCCTGACTGAGCTGCATAGATGCACTGAGATACTGCCCAATTAGAAACACATTGCATGAGGAAGGGTTGTGGTTAGAGGGGAAGTGTTATGTTATATAAATTATCTTAATTTTAATGAAACAAAAGAAATTTGAACAGTATGAAATATATGAGATCTATGAATTGATTAATTGTGTTGGTGCTCAGAGTGTCCCTGTAACATTCTTACAATCTGTCCAAAAAAACTGGCATGCTTAAAAAAAAAGAAAAAGAAAAACTGGAAAAAAAACCCTGAAAAAAGCAATTTACAATGAAAAAAAAACAACAACAAAAAAAACACATTAATGGTGTTGTACACAGACACAAAATACATTCTTAAAGCAGTAAGTATTTATACCTATGCCTCGATTTGCTGTGAAGGTCATTGGGGTTGGCTTTTTCGTTCTCACCAATTAAATTCTCTATGTTAAGCACTAAAACCACTGCATCCTTTGAGAAGCATTTACT